TTCCCCTCCAGTAGCAGCAGCCACTGTAAAAGCAGCTACCTGCACACATGGAGGAGGAGGCTGTGCGGCACCAGAGGCCCTGTGGGACAGGAGCAGTCCTGCGGGATGGGGAGGGAGCGGCGCTGTGCTTGGTGGTGGAGCAGCCAGAGCCACATGCCGCCAGGAGCCCGCCCCTGCTAGCAGAGATCCAATGGGAGCTGCCTACGAGCTCTGCAGGGGGCGGGGGAGTAGAAAATTTTTTTCACAGAACCCTTAGTTCCACTTCACAGAACCCCAGGGTTCCACGGAGCATCATTTGGGAAACAATGCCCTAGGAAATTTGCCCGTTTCTAAAGTTTTTCGGATAGTCAAGTACCAGATAGCGCAGGTTTTACTCTTATTTTTTCCTGTAAAAGTTATTGCAACAAATGTAACTAATTTGCTAAATGTGCCTTTTTTTCTAAAATGTTTGGGTTTTATGCTTTGTTCCAGTTCAAGATAAAGCTGCTGATGGAAAGAAGAGACATTCTTCCAAAAATCAGCCCACATCAGCCAGCTGTTCCTGAGTGGATATGCTCAGAAGAAATGGACAGCTTGATTAGCTGTTGCCATATCATTGCTTGAAACATCAGACATACTGACATTTTTGAACTATATAGAGAATGTTTCAACATACACAAATTACTGTTAAAATGCTAAAGGACAGTTCCGAGTATTATGAGGGAACAAGGGAGAATCCTTTCATTAGGGTTAGCAGGATAAAATTTACTTTTGTACACATTCTAGGGGCTTGTTTTTACTTTGGTATTCTAATAGCACAAGCAGATGTAAACTTAAATAGACATAGCCAGCCCACTACATCAGTTTTGATTCTTGATATTACTTATGAATTCCAGTGGCCATAAGTTATTTTAAAACAAATTGTACATTTTGCACTGCTGGCTTTCTTCTTGCAAAAGTATTGTCAGCATTGGGTGTTGGTAACTGAGTGGCTTACTGATTGATCAGGCATCGTATTTTGATTCCAGATTCTGACTGAGACAGCTAATTTTTTATTTAAAATTAACCTAATGAATTAGGTTGGATCATCTTAAGCTGTTTTGGTAGACCTGATTGCAGATAATATCCCCTCTTCCTTTATACAGCTATAACTGTTGGATTGTAAACACTTGATTGCTGAAATAACATCTCACCTAACTGGATTGTGTGCTTACAGTTCAAGCTAATTATAATTTTAGTAGAGTAGCAAGAAGAGGCACATATTTAAGATGGACTGTGTGTAAATGGAGATGTTTAGACCAGGGTTTTTTTCAGTTAGAGCTGCACAGGCTGATTTCTGTGAAATTGTGACATAGCATCTTAAGTTTGGACCAGCACCTCTTTAGAAAGCCAAAATGTGTGCATGGACTTAATGTTACTTAGAAACATTTGGACCAAAAAAAGCTTAATCTAAATTGTGGACTTTGAGAAGCACATGGCCCAGGCACATAATATGCTTCTCCTGACTTGGTGATCATTACAGACTTATTATTGAACGTAAGCTATTTCTTTTCTCAGTTGTACTTAATAATCTTAAAATGTTGCAACAGAATGATGTATGTACGAAGAGACTACTTCATTGTCATAACATGTAGTATCTTTTCTGTTACTGGGACATTGGACATCTATCTGATCACTCAGATCAAAAACCCAAACTGTTTCCTGTAGAAAACCTTTTACAGTGAAAGTAGGAAGGAGATGTCTACATATTAAGGCAGATGTTGGTTTTCATAGGATCAAAGTTTACCAGTCTGATTTTTAAAAAAAGGTGTATTGCTACTTTCTGAAACCAAGAAAGTTTCAGCAACACAAATCTTACTATATATATCTTGTGCCTTTATATGCACTACACTTAACTGTATTACAAAATGTTTACATAAAATACAAAATTAATTGCAAAACAGTTTTAAAAATACTTTCTAGTGGGCTAGCTAGAAAAAATAGGTTGGATCACGGGATCATATGAAATAAAGATAAAATACAGGATAAGAGTTAATCTCAGTTTTTTTTCCTGTATTTGTAATAGCAGGAAAGTAAACCTTTAAAAAAAAAAGAAATGTTTAGAACACAGAAGAACTTAGAATGAATTACCATTAATAGGATTTTTGTTTCTAATACTATTTCCAGAAAAACAGTATTTATTAACTCTTTTACAAGTAATTCTGGATCATTAGTTCAGAATTGTTGTTCTGGGATTGTGTGGGGATTTTTTTAAACCAATTAACACTTTTAGATGAGAATTTTGATGAGATGGACCAATGTTTCTGTGGGGAAATGTTCAATAAGGTATGGTTTTAATTTTTTTTTTTATTATGAATGAGTTTTTCCTGAAATTTTACTCATCTGAAGACATGTAATAAACTGCATTACCAGAAGTGCCAGCATATGATCTCTAGCTGTGAAAGATTTTTAAACTAGCTTTTGAGGGTAACAAACACATTGTTTACATGATACGTGTAGACATTTTGCAGCCAGGACTTCTGTAGCATACTGCCTGTTTCCACAGTGTTACTCTGTCAGGAGTTTACTTTGTATCAGTGTTTATTTAAAAGTTGTTAACTGTCAACATGATCATAGAGATAGGATGGAAAAAAGAACTAAATATCTTTAATTCTTCATGCTTTCATAATGTGTTAAGTAATCAGCTGCAGTGTTGTCTGTCAATCACATGTATTAAATATATTTATACACAGAAATGAAGTGACAACCAAATTCCTAAATATTAGCTTTAATGTAACGTGCCTAATATTTGACTACCACATACCAGTAAATATTATTTAATATAAAGTATCTTTGGAGTAAAATTCATACTAGAAAGGGATCTGTCTAAATTTGGATTTCATTTCTCCTTTAACCTATAAGAAGAGTTCTTGGTGGTTTTAGGATTTGCCCGGGGGCAGGATGCAGAATGTGGGTAGCTTTTTTTTTTTGGTGGATTGGGAATGCACTTCAGCCCTTCTCCAGCCTTGCAGAAATAAGGGATATAATAATCTGAGGGATTCCCAAGAGCTCCTGTGACCAGGAATAGTCTCTGGGGTAGGGCTATCACTGGGAGGGAGAGAGGGGGGGCAGCAGCCTCCATGTGTTTAATATGGTGGTTGTGTGAGATTACTAGGGCCTGTTTTGTGTGCAGAAGCAAGGCCCCATGGCTCTGCTAGAATGATCTGAGGGGGGGGGTCATCATGGCATTTATCACAACCACTGATTATATTGTTAAATAGAGCTATCTGGGCCCTTGTTAAATTTTTGATTTGTATTTGATGAGCACTTTGAAAGCTTTATACAGAGGAGGGGGGAAAATAGCTTTTCAAAACCCTGTGGTTCAGGTGTTGTTACAATGCAAATATAAGATTATTTTGGGGGGAAAATATAACTCTGGAATAAGATTGTAATAATGAATTGTCAGAGTGCACTGAGTTTTGTTCAGTACAAAATTGCTGACTACTTGGGCTGTACTCTAAAATATGAAACATGCATTTTTTTAAAATGCAAGAGCACAATATTTATTGTACCAACCACTGCCTATTTCCTGCTAATCATGGCCCTGAGCTTGAGATGCACAGACATACCCCTGCACCCAGCGGACAGTGGGATTCTGGATAGGATTAAGTCCCCTAATTTGGTCCAAAATCTATTATAATCCAAATAAATCCCCCCCCCAAATTATGAATTAATTAGTGAAATCTCAAGTCTATTAACAAAAATAATTCACTTAAAGATTACTATACAGCTACTGGTGCACAGAGTCTGAACCCATTTTATTGTCATTTTAAAATCTCTTCCTAGAGCAATGGAAGTGTGTCTTTATTTGGCAAATTGAAAGCAAGTGAACTACTCATCAAATCATTTTGCAATTGTAAATCAGGTGCAGCAAGATTAACACCCATTTACAATTTTTATTCAGACATGTTTATGGAGCTAAGAGCTATACACTAAGTGGCTAATACTGTCAATTGTTCAACTAAAGAAATATTCAATTAATGCACTAAAATTGATAGTTTAGGTGTTAAAAAAACTAGTCATGCTTCTAATATGAATACAGCAGTAGCTTTTAAAGTCTTTTTCCTGAAGTTTAGCCAGACAAAAATCAAGCACAGAAGATCAGCAAGGTATTTACAACTTTGGAAGGATAGGGTAAATGAAGCACATGGTATATTTCTATCAGGATGTGTTTTAATACATGGCACTACTTAATAGAGAACAGTATTTTGAAGGACTGTCTTTTACTCCATAATATGTTCAAGACAGCAATAAACTTCTCTGTGTTGCTTTAAAATCTGTAATTTTGTATTCAACTTAACTCAGCTAGGGTATTAAGCTAGTCCCACTATCTTAGGATACTTCTGTGGGCCAACTACCCACATGAGAGCAAACCATTGTTGCACAAACTGTAATCGGCATTAGGCACACAACCAGAATTTTGGCAGATATTGTAAATGAAAGCTCTTCCAGCTCCTT